TCACCAAGAAACGTAGAACCAGATCTCCATGTCGATATAATGACTAGGAAGAAAAAAGAGCGTAAAGTTATCAACAAAAGCTTTAAATGAACAAGTTTTATGTCACCAGGTAAAATGGATTGTTGAAAGAAATCGTGAATTAGCACTGACATTATTCAATTCAAACTCACTATTATGAATTTGCTGTCCATTAGTTTCTGGCGTTAGAGAAGAAAGACCAATCATTTCTTGGGTATAATTGAAATCCTTCATTTCTGCTGCAATTTCCTGTCGTTGTTCATTGAGAATATCTACAATTTTTACAATTGCATTAATTGAATTGAATTGTCTTCTTGAGATGTTAGCCTGAGAAATTATTGTTTGTTTAAGTACCTCACCTGGTATTGAATAGAAAAACCTCGATTTTCGTATAAAGGCATAGAGAAACAGAATACATAAAAAAATGGTAACACTTTGTGATGGCTTCTTTGACTTCAATCGCCGTTTCAATCGGTTTGATAGGAACATTTTATATTGAAATTTTTACAATTTTTCCACGTTTTGGAATTTATCCACTTTGCACAAATGTCATACACAAACTATTCAATTATCTCACTCAAGATTTATTGATTAAAACAAGTTTATTTTATTTAAAATACAGAGATTTGTATGAAATAGATCATTTATGCGACTAATAATTTAAGTAAAGAGAACTACTCTCGATCATCACTTTATTGATAATGTCCATTCATTCCATTTCAATATTGTTTTCAACTATGTGTTTTTATTTTACTTTTGTTAGTCGTCGTTAGTCGTCGATTTACTGACGCCCTACTTATATCACAAAAATAGGCAAATAAACTAATCGTACAGTTACACAGTGCTCATAAAACTATTTCACATGTGAATCTAATAATTCAATTTGTAATTTTAGTGAGTTTTCAAGTTTGTAAATACAGACATGTAGCGTAATTATTTGGATTATTTACATTCTTTGCTATTTGGATATTATTATTTATTAAATATTCACTTCACAATGTGAAGTTCACATAAACCCCTTGAAAAAATGATTTAAATTTCAGCGATTAAAACTTCTTCAAAATGTTTTTACAATAATAATTTTTATACAACTAAATGTGGGGAAGTTAAATAAATTTGATAAAATAGTTTCATTCGCCACTTTGGTACTCGTATTTTGTGGTTGAGGCCATGTTGCTGGCAAAAGGAAATTGTAGTAAGGGACTGAAAGTTGTTCCATTGAAAATGTCATTGTTCTCAGCCATTTTATATCCCCACACTGAGATTGCTTCACTACACTGCTTCTGAATTTGGTCAATTTCATTCCAACTTAAATCTTG